GGGGGTCTCGTGGTTTTAAAGAGAAAGAGACTCCAGCTGGGACCTTTTCTGAGGACTAAAAGTCATTTTGCCAAGCTAGCCTCAGTTCTTCAATGGGCAAAGTGGGAGTTTCATCCCAGTTGGCTTTGATATGGCAAAGAAGAGATACAAACTCACTCTACTAGCAAAGGGCAAATAGGATGAAAATATGTGGTCTTCAGGCAACTAGACTCCCACACCCACTTCTGGGTTGGGGGAAGAGTGAGACCCAGCACCATCTACCCTATCTCACCTGTCATGAGGTTGGCCTTCAAGAGGGTATCCTTGATGAGGTCATAGGTCACCAGCTCAGCACAGTTGACAATGGCATTACGAGCGACATTGGGAGAGGTCCCTACAGGAGGAAGGAGAGCCTGTGTGAGACCAGGGAATGGGGGAGGAGGAAGATGGGTAAGGGGAAACACCTGGTACACACCTTTCCAGAGTCCCCGGAACCCTTCCTCTTTGGCAATGGTCTTGTAGGCATCGACAGTGCTTTGGTATCTCCGACCACCTCCAGCCTGGGCTTGAGCTTGGAACCGGACCTTTACTACATCGGTGGGCTGGGCTAAAGCTACAGCCAGGGCACCTGTGGTGCTGCCTGCCAGGAGGCGGCTCCCAATGCCGGCATCTGTGGGTGAACAATAGGGGTCAGTGGCTAGCTGGGCTTTCACTTGTTTTCCCACCTCAAGTTTCCTCATCAAAACCACCATGTCACTGTAATCTCCTGCCTTTCATAGATAGTATCCAGACCAGCTCTTGCTCTAAGAACTTGTCCCATCACACAAAATATCACTGTAAATGCTTCTTGCTAGGGACATAGTAAGGAGTAAGACAAAAATGACTAGGCTGGCTGGTTAGCTCATGCGGGACAGCATGGTGCTGATAATATCAAGGTCAAGGGTTTGGATCCCCACACAGGCCAGCTGCTAAAAAAAAAAAAAAGACAAAAATGAGATTTAGTGCTTTCTTTCATAAAACATTTTCATTTAACCTGCTCAACAGCCCTGAGAAATCAGAATTACTTCCATTCACAAATGTGAAAACCAAAGCTTACAGAAGTGGCTTTCTGAGGGACTGGGACTAATACGACTTGGGTTCTCATCCCAGATCTACTTCTCCCTGACATGTGATCTTGGGAAAGTCAACCTTTTGTTCTGGGCTGTTGGTTTCCTCATGTAAAATGGAGGATTGGCATGGTCTGCTAAGGAGGTGAAATAGAAGAATGCTGGGCTTGGAGGCAAGAGTCCTGGGTGTGTTTTCTGGCTCCTCAATCTGTGCCCTTGGCTAAGTACTTCCTCCACTTCAAGCCAGTTTCTTCATCTGTAATACTGGGATGATACCACCTACTCCCAAGGTGATTGTGAGGACTGTCATGGGATAATGCCCTGCTTGGAGCCTGGTATAACCCAGGTGCTCAGGAATCATTAGGAGAATCAGGGACCCTTCAAGTTCTCAGCTGCCCTGATCCTCCTAGGGAATCTGGGGCCCAAAGGAGCTATTCGGCTAGATGAACTAAGATCGATCATCACTGAGAAAAAAAGGCCTATGGCCCAGCTCCACACTCACGCTCAGAGCCCTTGGTGTAGAACTGCTTGACGGAGTCATAGAGGCCGATGCGGACAGAGGCGAAGCTCATCTGGCGCTGCAGGCCGGCAACCAGCCCGTTGTAGAGGCTGCGGGGACCCTCGGTACGCACCATGGTCAGGATGGTGCCCAGCACACCACGGTATTGGGTGCCGGCTACAGCACGCACCAGCCCCTGACTTTCTCCTTGGATCTGCAAGGCCAAGACAGGGTGGCTACAGGGACAGGCAAGTTGCCCTCCCCATCTCCTGCCATCCGTATGCTCTAAAGTTTTGAGTCCCAAACACCCCACTGACCCTTGAGGAGGCTGTGTCCTCAGGGAGGGAGCAGACTAGACACCACTGAACCCCCAGCCTTCCTCTCCTCACCTGCAGCCGAACTTTAGCAGTATCTAGTGGAAAGGTGATGAGATCTGCAATGCAGGCGGCTGTGCCAGCACCCAGGAACTTCACAGTGGCAGTAGGGGGTACATCAGTGGCCTTGAACCCAACCATGATGCTGATTTCCTGCTATCTCCCAGGAGATGGTGAAAAATTGGAGAGGGGGGCACCTTCAAACACCAACAAGACGAGATAGAGGAACTCTGCCAGAATCTAAGCACCAAGAGAGAGAAGCCCCATCAGCAAGTGTCCCCAGGCCCTCCCTGTTCACCACCCCATCCCTACCTTCCCTGACAACACCAAGACCTAAGCAGGACTGAGAGCATCCCCATGAGGGAAAAGATAAGTGAGCTCCAAAGGTATTCAAGTAGGGGCTAGAGAAGGAATTCCTGCAAAAGAAGTCCATGTTTTGTGAAGGGCTCCCTCCCTTTCACTATGAGGAGAGTCTGGGTCAGGGCTATCCCAGTGCTGCCTCAAAAACAGCCCAGGCCCTTTTTTGCTGAGTAAAGAGATTTCACTGTTGATGCCCACATTCCTCCTGCTTTTGTGGGTCTATCTGGCATAAGAGGTTCCCATGGGTCTGAATTATTTAAATCAAGAGGAAAAGGAAGGGATAAGATGACTAATTCAATCCCATCCAAGCCCATCAGTCTAATTCTCTCTCCCAGACTCCACACAGCTCAGAGAGGCTCTCTAGAGTCATTCTTTCAACAAGACTGCTTTGCTGGGCACTGGTTCACTGGACCCAGGAGACAATATCTATCCTATAGGTGGCTTACTGTCAGGCATAGGGGCTGAGCAGGTTACTCAAGCTGCACTTGGGGCTTGTAGGACACACTCTCAAAATGCAGAGGAGGGAACAACTAACTCCATCAGAAGAGAGGTAAGGAAGAATGGATGATAAGAAAAGACTTCTTAGACAAGGTAATATTTAGCTGGGTCTTAAAGGGTGCCAGGTGATTCTGGAGGCTGAGAGTAAGTACCAGGGTACTGGACTCGTCCTGGCCTACTATGTGATGCAGGGAAAACTGCTCTCCCTCTTTGGCCAGTTTCCTTTTCTCCAATATAGGGGATCCACACTTTCAGCACAAGAGAGGGAGGGATGGAAGGAGAAGTGCAGGTCAGAGCTATGAAGACTGATACAGGAAACCAAAAGCTCCATTTTGTTCTCAGAGTTGGAACAACACCCTCCTCCACTGCCCCAGGAGGAAGTGAGCCCAGCACGCCAGTGGGTGAGGGCAACCTGCTTCTCCTTCCCCTTAGCTCACTTCTCTGACTTCATAGGAGCCTCTGCTCTGAGACCAGCCTGATTGGCTGTCCCTGTCGCTGGTGGAAGGAGGATGTGGTAGGAGTTAGTTGTGAACACAGAGACCCACAGAAATAAACAGCTCACCCAGCTTCTTCCTCCTGGGCTTCTCCTCCAGGTGGCTGTGGCAAACAGAAATCATGAGGCTATTCACCATAGCAACTGCAGTGGGAGTTCCTACAGGGCAGTGCCTGAACTTATTCCTGTTTGCCTGTTTCCCACATGAAGCTCAGTGAAGACTGGTGCTCAAATGGCAGAATGGGTTGAGAATGCTCCCAGACTCCCCAGCATCCCTGCTGATACCACCAGGATGTGCTCCACACCTTTCCCCACCCTACTCCCCAAGGTTCTCAGTTAGCTCACTTAATCCTCAAAAGCAGCCCTGTGAGGTGGCTGCCCTTACTTCCATGTTAGATGAGTAAGAGCCACATCTACAGGCTCCAAAGCTTATGCCATTTGCTTTGCACTGCTGCCCAAATCATTTCTTTTCTGCTGTTTTCTCAGACCCAGGCACAGGCAGGGCCTTTTACAAGGAAAATTCTCTTATATCAATTAAACAGAAAGTTCCTCCAGCCAATTAAACATTTCTGAGAAGATACAGATAAATGGTGTCCTTTCTCTGGGCATCAGAAATAAGATGACACGCGTCTATCACGTGCCTGACCTTGATCTAAGTTGCAGTGTTGTGAAGAATGAGAACCAGCTGCTGTCCAGCTCAAAGACAAGTGCACAGAGGCTCAGTTGTCATTTTGAATATTGCCTTGGGTTTTCCAAAGTCAGGTCCTTCGGAGGGGTGGATATGAGGGCAAAGATAACCTGTGCTATAAAAACTCTAAATAAAACTTAGGCCTAAAGAGTTAATCATATTTTACAGCCCCCAGCAAATAATCAGTTTCAGATCCCAAAAAGTACAGCTGATTACTAATATCAGTCTCAGAAAGTAAAAGCTGGAGTCAACAATATCAAGTTAGAACAATAGGTTCCTGTCCTGGCTCTGTTATTGACCCAGGGTGATCTGGGACCAATCACCGTCCCACCTGGGCCTCAGTTTCCATCTTTATAAAATGGGGACCACAGGCCGGCCCGGTGGCGCACTGGAGAGTGTGCTGCTTGGGAGTGCTCCCGCCGAGGGTTCGGATCCCATGTGGTGACTGGTTCCCGCTCACTGGCTGAGCGTGGCGCGGGCGCGACACCGAGGGTTGCCATCCCGTACCAGTCAGTAAAAAGACAAAAAGGAAAAAAATAAAAAAATAAAAAATAAATAAAATGGGGACCACCACCCTTGGCTTATCAGGGTCAGCTTAAGGGC